GCTCTCAAGCGGGTGCCAGTGTCCTCTGAGTATAAATCTCTTCCCTGGATCCGTGCAGTTTCGGCAACGTGACTGATGGAAGCAAGGCCGTAGGCGGTATGGGTGAGATCTCGGCAAACCTCCATGGCCATTCCGTCTTCGTTAAACTCCTTTTGGCCCTCCCACCAATGCTCCAGCAGCGTCTTTCTCGGCATCTTATATGGTCCTCGCGGTTCAGGGCCGTCGCTGCGTGGAAATAAGACGACATGTAAGCAAGCATTACACTGTTGATATCGGAACGGGGACATTTTTCTGTACAGACATACCTTTTCAGGTAGATGTAGTAGCTCGTCGAGTTGATGAAGCGGGCTAGAGACGCATCGTATGTAGCCCTGTCATTCAGGAAGACTGCAATGGATATGCTAGCTTCCATGAGAACTGGATTGGCACTGGTTAGTTATAAGAGCAAGCTGCGTCCGCACATGTAGAGTTTGTAGCTACCCAGGTCCCAGTTGTTGGGGTTTTTGGATCCGTTCTTCACGATGGGGAGATAGACATTCCTAAGCATGCCCTCGAAGGAAGTGATGTCCTCGCTGCTCCATGCTGCGTCCGTGTATCGAATAATCTCACCCGCGCGGGCCCAAACGGTAGCAGCCCACGCAGCTTGGAGCGGGGCGTTCTTATTGGTGTGCCTCTTGATCTTTTTGGCCCAGGCATTCATGATGGAAATGGCGCGAGTGGCCTTGGACTGGTCCTTGGTCGTAGCCCAAGCCAAGGCATTCAGGTAGGCTGCCAGGGCGTTTTTTCGTTCGTCGGCGCACCCAATGTCTGGATCCGAATAAGGACCACACTCAACATTCTCATATGGCGTAGGGGTTTCGATGGCAGCATATGGGTGTTTCATCATGGCGTCATATGCAGCCGTCCAAGTCTGGGTTTTGGATGCGACCTTTGATGCCATACGCTGCAGCTGGGAACTGTCAACGAATATGCCAGGATGAACAAATTCAGCGGCCGTGTCCCTCGTTTCAGCTAGAGTACGGCTGGCTGTAGACTCAGAAAGGTCTCGCTGTATATGATATCCATGAAGGCCGACGGATAGGGCCATGAAGGCCAAAAATGACTTGGTGGAAACCATGGTACTGGTGACAGCTCTGGTTACCTGATATGAACCGACGTTTCCTAGTAGCTTGAGCAGCAGGACACAAGACCTGGAACGTAAATGGCTTGGGCTAGCTCATGCACTTTCCTCTGGCTGTAAACCCCGTTATATGTGCATTCATGATGGCCTCTCTGTCTCTCTCTCTTTTTCTTTCTCAATGCGCGGAGCTCAGCCTCGCAGAATGACGTGATGTGCGTATCGGTATATTCTCGCATTCAGAGTCCGAAATCGGCAGTTGAATACGAGTGCGCCGAAGCGACCCTGATGCCGCGTTTCACATTCGTGAAGCCGCAGGACCTTGCTGACTCGGGCATCATCATGCTTGGATAGTACATGTATCTCTACGGAGTACTCCGCATCAAGGGGCCTTTCCGGATTGCATTGCAGCGTGCTTGCGCATATCTTTCAACCCTCTTCATTCAAGACACCCGACCAATGACCAGCATCGCGGGGAGTACGGTACTCGAGAGGACTTCTCTGTTTAGTTTTTGACGTAACATCGCGGACAGCTGCAACCTAATCGCGCAGCTGTCACTTTGGATGCGCCGCTGCACTTGGAGATCCCGACGCCGCAATTTTCCCTTGCAAGAAGCAGGGGTGAATACTACTAGTAGTAGTAATATTCCCGTCCCCGCCCGTACCGGTAGCAATAGCAGGGGTAGGAAGACCGGGGTACGCTTGAGTTGCCGAAATTACCATGGACGCGATGAAGCGAGAACAGGTTTCTAAAGTTTTGGTGCAAAGTACGAAGTACTTGTTGTCTGGGATGCCTCGGATGACAAGCTAACCAAGGACCTTGCAGCCTTATGTACATGACTTCTAGTGCCGTAGTGCTGTCATGTCGCGGATGACAAGGCCAAATATTCCGGCGCCAACGCCTTGCGGCCCCACATTTCAACCAAGACCAGTTGACATGTACTTATGTACCGACCCGAAGTACTACCGTGTCCTGCCTCATACGGCGTGCGGAGTACTACATTCAATGGCTTTATATTGATGAGACACCTAATTTAAGGCTGACCGGCCGACCAGGCTGACCGGCAAAGGTCCCATGGCTCCGATGAAAAGGAATACGTACGCAGTCTCCGTACGGAGCACTACCTTCCATGTCAAGTCTGGTGCTGCAAATGGGCAGCTACGACCTGCCCCGCCCGCTACTAAGTACCTAGGTACCTAAGTACCTAGGTAGGTAGGTACAAGTAGGCAGTCAAGTTCAAAATGTCACTAGACATTGATTGTACCGGACCAGTACGGACGACGGCTCATGTCCAAGCCGTAGTTCATCCAAGCCACGGCTAATTACGTACCGGGAAACTCACATGGTGCCACAATCGTCTGATGTGTCAAGTTGGTTGTTGTCATTACTTTGAGCGTAGTGTTTCGCCACCACCAGGAGAGGATGTTGACTCAGAAGCAGGGAGTACATACAATACGGAGTAGGGGCACCCCAGTGTACTTAAGTAAGTAAGGCACGGAGTAGATGAGCAGTTCGCTGCAGGGCTCGACTCGGGTCCGGGTGGCCGCGGGTAAACTGCTCAGGGGTGAAGACAATTTCCGATCCTGTCCATGTTCCATGTCCGCGGTGATTGACGGGAGGGCGTCAATTCAAGCCGCTCGTTCATTGGATGACCATGCGCCATATCGGCAACATGCAAAATTGCCGAGACTGCTTGCCCACGGTACGCAGATGACAACAAGGCTCAGCATGCTTTGCTGGAAAAGGCCAATCTTGCGAATTGTTCCGTTTGTACTTTCAAATTCCGCATCTAGGTCCAAATCACCGCTCTCGTCCACCAAGAGAAGAGGGCTTCTCGAAAAGCCTGTCGGCAAGATGACTCAATTTGGTTTAGCGGCAAGCAACACCTGAGCGGAGAGATGAGTCTTTCTTTCTTATAGAATAGAATCAATATTAATATTAATATTAATGTTGTTATTATTAATGTCTGCCAATAGAATATGCTCCCCTCCCGGCCATGCATTGTGCCAAGTGGAGTAAAATGCCTTGGCCAAAGACTCCGGGGAAAGATGCAGCAGAATTCCTGGTAGAAATATTGACGAGATCTCATGATGCTGCAACTACAGGGTAATGCGACACGCATGACTCATCCCAAAACCAACCGCGAAAGCTGCATAAAATGCCACACATCCTCAATATACGTGTCACCGCGTACCCGTAAATGGTGATGAGCCGGAAGGATAGCATTTTCCTGGTACTCCTAGTACTTGGTCCATCATGTACCTTGACATTGGTTTCCCCAACATTTTAGGCACTTGGCCATTGTGTGCAGCTAGAAGACGCTGCATGACTTTGATCGCTGGGAAATGCTGCTTTACTTTTCATTTTTACTCCTTTCTTATGCAGTGACATGTCCCAGTTGACTACCGAGTGGGTTGACGAGAGCCGGACCGAGTAGTCTGCGTGGCATTGAGTCGGCAGCGGGTTGACCAGGAAGACTCTTTTCCATAGTCAGAAGGTGGCATGGGAAGCGGAGGATCAGTGACATGTCTGACTAAATGTACAAGAGGGATGGGAATAAAACGCCTCTTATTTATAGCCATAATTACTGTAGATGATTCTTGGGCCTCGGGGCTCGGCTCTGGCAGCTTGATATAGGCAATAACGCAATGTTCTTGAATTCGTCATGGTAGCTTGCTGTGGCCAATAATGGGGCCGTCTGGAACTTGCTTCGACAGTTTCCAGACAGAAATGTCGCTATCCAAAGTGCTCCTGCTGCATGCAGGACAAGTATTGCAGCCCCCTGATATTAGGGTCTTTGGGCCGCTGTTACACGGATGACACGTTGCCATGAAGGCACGGGCCGAACCTTGAACCCGACGATAGTTACACCAGGGCTCTGATCGCGAGACCTAGGGCAAGGTCCCTCACCGCCTCTTGATATAAATAAAGGTCTTCCGCCTTCAGGGTTTCAAGGAAAACCAAGGACCTTTGATATCAAAGCAAAGTATTAGCTGAATACGAATGTTGTTCCCAGCCCTATAATAATAGCCCTTGTCACAGCCGCCATTGGCCAGCAGGAGTCTGATCATGCTCATGTCTTCACCGTCTTTGGCCAGGCACAAGAGCTATGGACAATGGCAAGATGCCCGACTGACACGGCATTGGCATATCCGGCCTGCAAGGCTGCCTCTAGCGCGTTGGGCAACTCTTGCGTCAAAGTAGGAACAGCCGAGTCAACACCGTTGTGGCTTGTATCCTCATCAACAAAGCAATGTGGACTGATCTAATTGCCCGTGTGACGCGACTGTATATATGGAATATTCGCGGCGCGTATTTTCTTGTGCCAACTTTCAGTCATTACTTCCTTAGTTCCGGATACACCTACATGTACTCCAAAGCGTTGCCCCGGCTTGCGGTTAAGCGGGTTGGCTATAATCTCATAGGCAAGGCCATAATAAATACCCTCTCTGGAAAGGGGGTGAGTGAGGGTCGCATCCGCTATTTCATTGGAATCCTCGTGATACGATAAAGGCAATCCGGTCAACATTTCGCATACAAGGACTTCGCGAAGAGCCTCATCTGCCACCAGGAGGTCCCAGCTACAGAAGAAGCTTGGGATATGGAGTGCTTCATCATTGACGAGAATTGCGCCGAGAATATAAATTTGATAAAAAAAAGTCTTCCTAAAGGATACCCTGCAATAATCAGGCATTCTGCCCGCCTACCTACCAGGGGGCTTGTAAGCTCTCCCAGTAGTATTTACACCAGATTTACCCCGACGCAAAGGAAGAAAAAGAGAAAACAAGCTCAGGACTCCACTCAAACACCCGCTCGCTTGCAATTCAACACTTCGTTAGCAGCTAGCCTTGACAACGGCTTCAACAAGGACTTCGCGCGCATCTATGCCTTGGCCTTGAAACCAGCGTACGGCGGGTAAGCGGGTAATTCCCAAGGCATGGCGTTCTCTAGGAGCTGATGGTCTAGGCCTTCATAACCGTCATTCATATACAGGAATTTGGTAAAGGGGACGGCAGCATGATAGCTGAATTTGGTTCCAGCAGGGATAAACGCCACGTCTCCATGAAGCATCGCCGTGCTTTCATATCCCTCCACTTTCAGAATGAGCTGGCCGTCTTCCATTTGTAAGGCGAAATGGTGCGGTAGAGTGGTTGTTGTGGCGGATTCGTTGGCTAGCTTTTGTGACATGATGACAGTGCCGAGGGTGAAATTCTTCTCAGTGGCCTCGTTAGTCAGGGGCTGAATAATCTTGTATCCAGTTTCCGTATTCAGAAACTTTTTACCGTGATCTTTGGCGATAAAGTACGGTTCGCCATAGGTGGTCGGCAGCTCGTTTGGACCATTATGCCAGTTCAGTTTGCTATCGCCGGCGGTTCCGTTGATAAGATCCCTCCGCGGGACAAACTGCTCGCTCTCGTACAAGTCCAACGAGGCCAACTCTGTCTTCAACTCGGGCGTGAGCGGTCCGAAAGGCGCTTCGTCCTCAATATGCGGAACATAGGGCGAACCAACACCCATCGATTCAAAGTCCCCGACACTGTAAAAGTCAAACAGATGCTCAAAGCCAGCCGGGTGGAAAATGTGCGTCAATTGCGTGTCAGGGTCGATGAGCTGAAAGGTATGGATGCTGCCAATGGGCAAGTTTCCGTAGTCTCCTAGTGTGGCCACGCGCGCCTCTTGGATAGAGTCGGTTGTGTTCTTTTGGGCCCAGAGCTCAACCCTTCCTCGGGCACAGTACACGTGCTCGTGGACGTTGCGATGCGTGTGGAAGCGCGCGGATGCGTAGCCGGTTAGTTTTCCGTTGTGCTGGATCATGGAGAAGGCCCCGTCGCTTGAGTTTGCCGTGATGGCAAATCGGACCACTTCCGTCTTGGACAGCAGGACGGCACGACCCTTGTACTTTGGCATGACATAGGGGCGGATAGTCTGAGGGGCCTCGTGGACGATGATGCTTTGATTCTTGCCTGTTGAGCAACTAGATTCCGCAGTGGCGGCGGCCAGCGCGAAGATGAGAAATCGTGTAAACCCCATTATTATATACGCGGTATGCCGTCGGGATGAAAGATGAACAAGAAACAACAGGATCCTGTTACTAGTAGTTTCTGAATAGAAGAACCACGGGGCTCTAGGACAATATATAAATTATATGACGAGATGCAATTCAAGTCGAAAACCCACTGTTCGGATATCCCATCTCACTCCGGCCGAGAGGGATTCAGCGAGGCGCCACAAAACTCCTGGAACTTACGATTATTGACGTGAGAATCCCCACTTTGTTGGAGAAACATACAAAGTTAGCAGGTGCTCCAAGATTAAGTTTTAGAAACTATATCAAGGATATTCCCCAGTCGTTGCATCTGGTCTAGTCCCGGCTGTATAGTCTGGTATAGTCCACGGCATTGTGAACAACCCACATGGACCTCCCTGCAATCTATGCCTGCCAAGACAGGAACACCGGACGCATGAATCGTGTGCTTCCATGTTCTTAATACTGGTGGCAAATTCTGCATTCTTGATCTCCCTAGAATGCGCGATTTCGTAGCAGTGAGGACGATGCTCGTATGATGGTCAGCCAAGCGGCTTGTTTACCGGCCGGCCGGCCCCTGTGCTGCATTCACGACGATGTAAGGGAGCTGGGTCGTTGCATTCGGAGTTGACCCTGCTAGTACGGAGTAACATGCCGAACTATACCCAGGGTCCGCGGTATTGCTCGACATGCGTCCAACAAGCCGGGCTCATGTATGAAACAGCCATCTTGGGTCATGGTCTTGTTAGGCTCTAGTCCTATGCTGGTGATTTAGATGTGTTTCTGCGTCTTATTCTGGTGTTTGACCAGGTTTTACATATTCTTTTGATTAAATGGATTGAAATGACAACCCAATCCCGAAACTTAGTAACAACAGGTGCTGTGGCTGAACTGCTTGACTGCGAGATGAAGCTGCCTTGTTTAATATCCTCCAGCATCCACGCCATCTAATCAACTCTAAACTTGGTAATCGAGTAATCAAGGGGTCGAAATTTTTTCAGACTTTAGCATTATTCTCACGGGTCCCTTTGTATATGGATATCATGTGTATATCACGAATTCGGTGCAGAAGACTATAGGGGGCACATGACTCAAGTTTCTGCCCCAATGACAAGTGGATTAATGGTAAAACATGGCGTTAAAAGATGAACCATGGTAAGTGGATTTGGGCCATCATCCGTGTTTTGCTTGGCCATGAGCGCCCACGAGGAATAGGGATATGACATGATATTCGTTCACATGGGAATAAAGACTTGCCAAGAGTACAAGATTGGCTCGTTTGTGCCAAATCCCGATGGCGGTCCGGAGCTTATTGTAAGGGCCTGTTCCGTCCATGACCCCAGAATAATTCAAGTCGCCGTTGAAGTAAGCCCAGTTTCGCATTTGTCATGGTCCCGCGCGGTTAACTCCATGAATAGTTATGTCTGATTGGTTAAAGCCGCGACGTGCGTCGAATGATGGAATAGCCAAATTCTCGTGCAAGCACTGCATGGACAGTCGTTGGTTACCTAGATGAATCCATCCATCCTTGTGATGAAAGTTGGCAGGTTGTAATGATATAATTTCTTGTCTCGACTGAGTGTATGTTCAAGCCACTCAGTCGTCTTGCTATTTGCTAGTCACTTTTCATCTAAATACCACACGTCCATATATATCTGCCCGGCTACATGGGCATCTGATGACGCAAATTACAGTCATATCAATATCTCATGACTTTTTGATCTAACGGATCCATCCCATGTACCTCCACGGCAGCACAATTCCAGCCACAGCAGCCGTAACTCCAGTGAACAAGATCAACGGCCCGTAACCGCTACCATAGCCCGCATACGCCTCGCCTTTCCAAAGCATGTGCTCAACCAGAGCCTGGCTCAGTGGCCCGGACAAGACGCCTCCGATTCCCCTGCCAGCAGCAAGCACGGCCATGACCATGACGGGGTCGATGTCCTCGCACCGGTACTTGGCAGAAATGGTCTTGTCTGTCGTAATCTGCCGCATAAGGCCCGTCCAGGCAGACGTGTACGATCCCGCAAATAAGCCATAGAAGCCGCAGTACGTGAGCAGCAGCGGAATTGATGTTGTGAATCCCCATATGAGGAACGTTGCCAACGACGCGCCAACGGTCGCGATGAACAGGCAATTCGCGACGTGAAGGTGGTCTGATAGCCATCCCATACTCGGACATCCCACAGTCGATGCGAGGTTGAGGAGCAATACCGTGGCCGCGGCTGGAAACTCGCCAGAGCCAAGCACCGATCGAGCATACGTTGGTAGGTATATGCTAGGAAGGAAAAACCCCAACGCCTGGACACTATTCGCCAGCATGTGCAGCACGAATGTTTGGCTGAGGGCGAACCGGAAGTTGAATGGGTTGATGTGCTTCTTTTGAAGTTGAGGCGGGATCCGCGGTTTGATAAAGTACACCAAGGGCAGGGTCAGGGCCACGAGACCCGCGGCGCAAAAACGAAGCGTCGTCCGAAAGCCAAACCTGCCCAGGAGGAATTCCAAAAGGAACGGGAGTATCGAGCCCGAGAGCCCGGTACCAGCCCACATGATGCCGTAGGCCATGCCCTTGCGTTTGTCAAACCACTCGTTGAGGTAGGCGACGCACGGGCAGTACGATAGAGAGCTGCCGATGGCGAACAGCACACCCTGCGTCAAGACGAGATGAGGAACCTTGGTCGAGAACGAGGCAGCGACGAGCGAGAGGCACATGATGAGCACACCTACTACCGGTGACCATGTGCTGAGTCGAGGGTATTGCCGCTGGATGCCCATGGAAAAGGGCATGCCCAAGTACATGATGCCCTGGTCTATTTGTTAGCATCATGAGCTATACCAGCCTCGGGTGATGATGGGGCGTGAACATGCCGTGGCACATGTGGCGACCGCTGGGAGCCCGGCGGCGTTTTTGAACGGTTCGTGTGTGCTGTAGTACGCTTGAAACACTCCATAGGCACCGGGGAATCCTGTGTATGTGCGTTAGCAGGATGCGTGTAGACAATATAAACATCCATGTCTGCTTACCCAGAGCCAACCCTTCTATCATAAACGACGCAGTCAGGAATAGCCAGGCGTGAGAGCCTCGGTCCGCAGGCCGAAAGAATGGATTCTTTTCCCTCCACAGCTCATCTCTCTCGGCGTCAGAAAGTGATAATAAACTATCATTTCTACCCTCCTTGTCGGTCAACGATGCCGTCGAGCCCATGGTTTCTGGAGATGGAAAGCTATTATATCTGGTGAAAGTCTCAGACCGTGTCAGGCCAACAGAGAAAGCGCCGACTTTTCAAGGCAAGAGTTGCCAAACTCATCAATAGCGTAGTTGTGCTTTCTTTTATTAAGCCCAAGTAGTCGGGCTGTGATAGACATGTGAGTTCATGATCAACATTGGAATGACGAAGAATGTGAAACATGACACCTGTAAAAGGGTTCCTTGGTGATGGCAAGTCCTGGGCTGGAATTTGGAGCTTCGACAGGTCCTCATCCTGTGACAGTAGCATCACGATGTCAAGGTAGTTTCAGTAATGGCCCACAAGAGCTCCAAATGAGCTGCCTTTTGCTAAAGGGAGAGGAAATGCCCAACTTGGGCACCATTCCTGCCAAACTGGGTAGCGCCAACTGTTGTCTCAGAAATAGCACAGATTTCTGTCTCATGGTCTGTTTCATGCCCGAAATGGCTGGCCAAGTACGAACAGGTGGGAGAGATCCACAAATGTGACGAGACTCTGTCTTGAATAGGAATTCTGCCCGCCTCATGCTCCGTCTGATTTATACGACTGGCCGTCCTGCGTACCTGGTGGACAATGAGCGTTGACGTTGAGCACGCCTTTTTTTTTTTGTAGTTTTCATGGCAATTCCTGGTCAGGGCAGAGACATGACATGCTGATATGGATTGTTTCTTGGTTTTACAGATGATAGGATCCGGATTCGTATCACTGATCCACGTAGGACTTGGTAGCAATGAAACCTCATGTGTTGCATTATCTCGTGAAAACCCACGCTCACAACACGAGAGATGATAGAAAATCTTGGTGACAGAATCTAGACTTGGTTTTCGTCTTGTGATTGGTCCATTATGGACTGTTGACGATGCCTCGGTCGGCGAGCGGCGGATTTGCATGGCAAATTCCAGCGGGTGGCTGGGGTTGGTAGCCGGCGTTGCATTGGCGGGATGAAGGGGTTTTTATATGTCATCGGTGTAATTGGGACCCAGAGTTTATTATCATGTGTGCTTGAGGCCATCGTAGATGTAAAATTCGGCAGCCCTCGTGCGGCCGGTCCGCTCAGTGAAGACATCACCTGCAGAGCAGCAAAACTACTAGAGGCCAATGGCGAAGAATGTGCGTTGTAAAAGCAGTTTCATCGACTGATGTCGTCCTAGTACTCCTAGAGACGATACAGTTAGCGTGGGTCTTTCTTTCCAATATGATCTGCCACCCCAATGCCTTGATTATCATGGCTCCGATCCATCTTCCGTTGGCTAGCGGCATGATACGGCCACAATCAAGCCATGGCACCTTGGCCTCCTTTGCAGCTTCCATTGCTATCGATGCGAAAACAAAGGACTGACGATCTACGCGCACAGCCACCTCCAACAAATCTCCCAGCATCCCCTGAGCGGAGTTCCTCGGGCACTCGATTTGCACACCAACGTACATTCCTTCGGTACAGAATGAAAATCATCCTGAAACCTCTGGTCCTAAAACTTGGTTAACAACGGCTTTTGCTGGCATAACTCTGCCTGTCGTCGGCAGAATCCCGATGTTCAACTAGAAACATGTGCCAACCCGCAGTGAGTAGACCCATCCGATATGAGTCCAAGACCTCGCTCTTGATACTACTTTGAAAATGAGGTATTCTGGTAAACCGTATTTGTACCATGACATATCCTTTCTTGGAGATGGCTCCCTGCGTACACAAACGTTGGAGCGAGCTGTCGTAAGCAGGAGATCAAGTTAGTGCTAGCATTTGAAATTGGTAACATGTCCAAGAATAACACAGCCCT